GTGGTTCTCGCCTTAGCGCCGAGCACAATCGTTTAAACATTTTACCAGAGTTTCGCGGATTGAGGACGGCTCCTTGTCAGCATGTGTCTCTGGCCTGAGCGCCCCGCACAATCGTCTTAAACCACTGCAGGCCTTGCACACATGTCCATGGCTAATGTACCGGGAACGGCGTTCTGGAACGATTCATGATTGTCAGGGCGCAACGGTTACGTTGAGTCGCGTGTCGAAGTCCCAGGAACAGCGTTCTGGCACGATTCAGGATCGCCAAGACGCAGCAGTCAGATTGATTCGTGGCGTTCAAGTCCCGATAATGTTTTTTTTTGTCCGCTTCAAGATCTTCGTACGGTCGTTTCCCAACAGGGCACTTCCCTCGGTGGCAATGATTCCGTGTAGGGGCCTATGAAGAGGGAGCTTGGAGAGAGGGTTTATTTCAACAACGTTGATGAGTCTCTGGTTTTCTCTGGTCCTCCCCCTCCTCCTTCTCCTCCTCCTCCTCCTTCTCCTCCTCTCCCCCCTTCCTTTTCCGTTCCCCCCCTAGCTGCGTGGCCAGATCCTGAGTTGTCCACGTCGAACTTCCTGAAGGCGGACTTCAGGTGGTCGTCGTGCATGTTGATCCTGGCGCCGACCATGGCCGCCAGGAAGTCGCTGTAGTGGATCTCGTCGTCATGGTTCTGGTCAAGAGCCTGGAATATGCTCTGAATCTCATCGTTGGGCACGTGGAACTTATCCTGCAGTACCTTCTTCAGCTCTAAGAGGGTGATGGTGCCTGTCTTGCGGGAGAGCTGATCGAATATGATTACATTATGGGGAAGATGGGCACCCTGCAATCGATGTTTCGGATCTGGCATCTTGTCACTCTACGCCGCAATAATATCGCGAGTGGGCGCAGTACTTCGCGCACACTTCCAGGCCCAAACCGCCATAAAAAACAGGAGAGAAATTCGAAGTCCAGACTTCTGCGACTAGGCCTGCGATCGTGATCAAACATAGCACATGGTCTGTACAGCGTGCTTCCGTCGAGTGAGCATCATTCCAGAATTGCAGGCGACGCGGTTCACGATATTATGAGTAGCCATGTGCGGCACTCGGTGCCATTGCGAGGTCGGCAGGCGCATGCCGGATACCCCGGCACGTGGTGCTCTCCAGTCCTGACGCTTCCCCGGGTCTGCCGATCGGACAACGCCAAGCAAACAACTCATCAGACAGTTCGCCCGCTGGCCCCCGATCAGCCCCACTGCAGGTGGCGAGCATAGATGCGGGTGCAGAACCACGCTGGATGCGTGGCCCTCGGTTGGGCCAAATCCGCGGGGGTCCAACATCTGCGAACCTGCAGCGTCGTAGTGTCTGCACCCGAGCACCGTTTAACCGACCGCTATCCCCATTGGCGTGGCCTGGGCCCCACTGGCCGGTTTACCCCCAACGATGAGGATACAGTATGTGCCCTTCGGGTTTCGAGGGGTAGATCCCCAACTGGGGTGCTGAGATGGCGGGGGTTTGGATAGGGATCGGAATAGGGGTCGGTCAAACGACACTGCGCATTGAACACAACGTGGGGTCGAGAGCTATGGACTCGATCGCAAGCGGCCGCTCGCCGTCGCCCCACGGCTCCAGCACTCAGGCGACCAGCTCACTGCGACACAGGGCCAAGAGCTCCCAGTTAGGAACATCGTGTTCCCCATCGCCCTGGCGCAAGACTGACAGCAGCATATCCTCACCCTTGGCCTAAGGCTGAAAGCTGCCACCAAAATAGTCTTACCGCCATGGCTCAAACTTGCCAGCACCGTATCCGAATCACCCTTGGCCTAAACATGCCAACAACATATCCTCGCCGTCCTGGCTGAAAGCTGTCAGCAACATCTCGTCATCCTTTGCCCAAACTTCAAGCTAAACCTCTCCACGCTCTGGCGTAAGGCCACCGACTGCAAGCAACATGTCCTCACCCCCGCGGCTTAGCACTTCCAATCCTCACATCTGTCTCAAATCTGTCAATGAAATATCCCGATTCCCCTGGCCAGAAAAACTGCGAGCATCTGGCCTAAAGCTTAAATCAACCACCGGCATCTTCTCACCGCCATGATTTAAAGCTGTTCACGAAATATCGTCACCACCCCTGGCCTAAACCTTTCAACCACACACCCTCACCACCCTGGCTCAAAACTGCTGGCAAACTATCCGTACCTTCTTCCTTAATGCTGCGGGAAACATATCTTTCCTTTCTGTTTAACACTGCAAAGAACGCATCCCCACCTCCCCCCACACTAACCATGCCACCGATGTTTCCCCCCTATGGCCTAAAACTGCTAGCAATAGATCCGCACCCCTTTGCTTCAAACTTCCAGCAACACGTCATCACCGCCCAGACCAAAACAACAAACAAAGTACCCGCCCCCCCTGACATCAACTGCCAAATACATATCAACACCCTTTGCCGACAACTGCAAGCAACTGGCCCTGGCCTTTCAACAGTGCAAGCAACATGTCCTCACCTCCGTGGTTTTACACAGTCACCAGCATATCCACACCACCTGGCTGAACATGATCAGCCGCATATCCTCACCTCTCCCTGAATTAAGTCAACCCTCGGGATATGCCTGCCAACGCGAAGCCGAACCAATTGGTTTTTGCAATGCCAACGTCTCTCTATGTGGTGCAAGTCATGAAATGCAACATGCGTGGTGCAACATATGCGGTGCAACCGGAAGGGTGCAATAGACCTAGTTCAAGTTACGTGGCGAACTATATGCTGCAACCTTTGTGGTGTAGGCAATTCGGTGTAACTGTCGGGTACAATCTTTGTTGGCGAACGGGGTGCGATCTATAAGGTGGTGCAGTACATTTGCAAGAACTTGGGGTTGTCAACTCCACTGCTCGCGCAACTCGTCCACCCACCCACCCAAAACTTGGTTTGCAAAACAAATGCGGCGGCGATTGCAGCTAGGTTGGCGTGACCGACGCGGCCGCGGTGGCGCTGGCCGCTGGGGACTTCCCAACGCGTCTCGCAAGGCGCGCTGGCGCACGGGAAATTCAGTGCGAGTCGGTGACTCAGGCGGGCGCGGCAGCATGGTGACGTCGGCAAAAGCGGACACGATGCTGCTAGTAGTGAAGCTGATGGCGATTATGACAATGACGACGGCAAGGCTTTTTACGGCGCCGATGCTGATCACGCCGGTGACGATGATGGTGTTCACGTGACGGTCGGTGAAGGCTTTTGAAGGATTTCGACATGCGCGCGCGGCCGACGCGGGCGAGAGGCCTGCATGATCTTATTTGAGAAGGGATCGCGCCCCACAAGCAAGCGCGCAAGCGCGTTCGAATGATTCCGACATGCGCGCGCGGGAGGCCCGTAAGGTCTCATTTGGCGGAAATGTTGCACAACCTATGGTTTTCATACGGACTCGCAACAGCGCGCGCAGACTTCTTTGACGCATCATGTTGAAACACCATTTGGTTTCTTTATGTGTTCGGGAATCTCAATCTCAAAATCCTTACGGAACTTACGGTTTTGGGTGGATTTCGGCATGTGCGAGCGACGCCGCGCGCGGTGCGCGCATAGTATCCGCCACCGTGCCCCCTGGCAAATTGAAACGTGGTAGAATGCCAAGTGCTGCTGGTAGTTTTTTTGCAATCTCCTATGGGACCCCCCTCCCCTCCGGGCCGCGCCTCGTTGTGCGCACCGGCCAAACTCCCAGGCGGTCCCTGGGCGGCCATTGCGCCTCCTTTGGGCTCTCAACGGCTTCCATGACGACCCAGGAGGCCCCAAAACAGTCCAAGAGGGCCCCGAGTCGCTAAACGACCGTTCGAAGACGTCCAAGATGGCCTCAAGATGGCGCAAGAGGCTTCTAAGGCGCCCAAGAGGCCTCCAAGAGGTCTCCCAAGATGGCCCCCCAAGGTGAACATCATTGATGTTCCTTCAGTTCTTGAAAGATTGTGGCGTTCTCGCCTGTTCGGCTTTCCGACGCTCCAAGACGACCCAAGAGGCCCCCCAAACCACCCCCGAACTGCCAAAGAGGCCTCCAAGAGGCCGCAAGACGGCCCACGAGGACTCCAAGACGGCCTCAAAAAGAGCCCCAGACAAGGAATACGAACCGAAAATCCAAGCCTTCCGCCCCAAGGGGCTCCCAGGAGGCCTCAAAAGGCTCCCAAGAAGCCCCCAAAAGGCCTCCAAAAGGCTCCCCCAAAGCCCCCACACGGCCCCGTAGAGGCCGCAAACCGGCTTCCAAGAGGCCCCCGAAAGGCCTCCCACGAGATCCCAACGAACATCCACTAGGCTTATTAACCGCAACCCAGGCCCGGTGGCGGGACTTGCCGTAGGCAGCTGGATTATTTGACAGAGATGAATGGGGGGCGATAAAGGGTCTGGCTGGGGTTTGGTGAATTCATATTTCGAATGAGTGGTTTGGCAGAATCGTACGCGCACTGCAATATCCCAGGGGGGGATAGTAAAGCTGGTTGGGTGGGTGGGGGGTGGTAAATCCTACTTTCTTAATAGAAAGGAGAACACTATGTGGTGTAGTCTACGTGGGGCAACTCATTTTTGCCAACGCGTGACTTGTCAACTCCACCGCTCGCACGATTACCCCACCCTTCCAGCCGCAATCTGGCGCGCAACACCCAAACTGCAGTGTCCAAGAAGGTGGCGCCGAGAAGTCTAGGGGGAGGGGAGGGGGTGGTCGAGTCTACTATTTCTTGTAATTTCTATTAGCTCATGCCTTGTCAAGTCCACTGCTCGCACAATCATCCCACCCTCCCACCCGCAACTTGGTTTGCAAAACCCATGCGGCGGCGATTGCGATGGCTGTTCGGCCCTGGCTGGCGCATCTCTGCGGCCGCGCTGGCGCGCGCGAGCTCGCGCGCAGAGCGGTCAACTGGTTTGTCGCAACTGATGCGGCCGCGAAGGCGCTTGCCGATGGCAACGCCCCAGCGCGTGTCAAAGGCCGCGCTGGCGCCCGGGCGCGTCAAGGCGGGTCGGTGGCTCGGGGGTGCGCGGCATCTTGATGACACCGGCAGCACCGGCAACGACATTAATAGCGATAGTGGTTGCGACGATCGACCGTAGCTGAGGAATAGTGGTGGCGCTGACGACGATGACGACGGCCAGGTCGATGACGGCGCCGATGCTGGTAACGCTGGTGAAGAGGATGACGTGCGTGTGTCGAAGTGATTAACTGGTGATGGCAGCAATTGCGGCGATTGACGATGACGTTGACTTGGTGCGGCGGCGCTGGAGAAGGCGATGCTGTGGACGTGCGCGAGCGCGCGCGCTGAAAACCAAGAACCCGGGCAAACTGTTCGTTGACAAGCATTTTTTGCTTCCGATGGTTTTGAAGAGCTCTATGTTGAAATACTTCGAACACCAATGGTGGTGGAAGGATTTTGACACGCTCGCATGGCGGCGCGCGTGTGGCTCGCATGGTGTTATTTGATGCGGATTCGTGCACTTGGCGCCTGCTGGATCATCGTGGATGCGCCGCGTGGTGAGATGAGAATGCGGGTTCTGGGCGAGGCTGCTGAAATCAGTTGGGTTCCCCCAGATTTGAGGAAGTTCGCGCGAGCAGACAAGTTGCGATGTTTCCAATGTGAAGCAATATCTTTTTTCAAGGTGTATCTATTGGGGTTCTTGCGCAACTAGTGTGTGTGTGGTGTGATTTCGACATGTGCACACAACGCGCGTGGATTTTTTGCCCACCTGACAGGTTGGGTTCATTAGATTTCAGAAACGGACCTCCCGGCCCGACCATCCTGCATACCGCAGCCGCCAGATCCCCAGGTCCACTGGGAATCCCCCGAGACGCCCGCCTCGCGCCGACCAAGCCTTTCTTCTGCCGCAATGCAGCCGCGGCCAAATCCCCAAGTCCACCGAGAATCCCCCGAGACGCCCGCCTCGCGCCGACCCAGCCATTCTTCTGCATACAGCGGTGGCCAAATCCCCAGGTCCACCGAGTATCCCCCGAGACGCCCGCCTCGCGCCGACTACGAACAAGACACAGCCTGTCAAGAACTGATCATAACATAAAATGACAGAGCAGAACATAACCAAGCATAACATGACAGAGCAGAGTATAACGTAAAGCAGCATCACTGAACATAGCTGAATATAGCAATACTATATCACAGGGAAGAGTGCAGCGGCAGACCGGGTCATACAGAACACAGCGTCACATATCACATCATATCAGAGCAGAGCATGACAAGTCATGCAATGACAGAGCGGAACATACATCACATAACGTAACACAATACATCACACCATAACGTGACATCGCATACAATGACATACCATGCCGTAACAGATCATAGCATATCATAACATACCATAACATCACAAAACAACGCATGCAATGCCAGAACCCGGCATACCATGATACGACGTACCGGACCATATCATTGCGTATCAGCACATCAGAACAGAGCATACTTATCATAACATATCGGAACATATCTTGAGGCAACCAACCATACCAACGCATGTGATTACAGCATCGACCATACAGAACACAGCATAAGACGACCCATCACATCAGAGTATAGCTGCCCATTCTAAAACATAGTATCCCATGACACAACATATCATGCCCGACCATAGCATAATGGATGATAGCGCGCCGTACCATGACATAACATAGCTTACCATACCACAGCATCACAGACTATACCATTCCATAGCATGGCAAAGCATGTCATGACAGCGTGCGGTATCACATGTTATGAGTGACAGGTCACAACATAACATAGCAGAACATAGCAGAACACAACATAACACGTCATGACGGAATAGGGCATGACAGCAAACAGCATCGAGCATACTTGGACAAACCATCGCAGCAACTGAAAATTATGTGCTGCAACATCAGAAAGCTTAACATTGCAGCGGGATGTCTCAAACCAACAAAACATGATAGCACAGACTGAACATAGCACGACGTAACGTAAACAGCATCACGTACGTAACAGACTATACCACACTCTGACAGAACAGATATGCCATGACATGGTGCCTCAGAGTGAAGCATATTATTATATAGCACACCATAATGTGACAGAAGAGATCACGGCGCATCATATTTTAACAGAAGGGATACATTTGTGAATGGGGGACAGTACAGCATAACATGCTGTACTACAATAACATCAAACGCGACGTGCACGCCGAGGTCAGGCTGGCCACAGGAGCAAACAGGCGCAGCATCGAACGACCGGGCTACGTTTCTATCGTGACAAGCGTCACGGCGTCAGGCCCGCCCGTCGATCAGAACAGAACAGACATACTATAACACAACATGGTATAACACTTTCAAGCCAACATGCTATAACGAATGCGACCGACCGTAACGAACATAACAACACATAAATGTTGTACTACTGCTACCTCTACGTCACCGGTTCGATCCAACATGCTTGGCTACAACTTCATGGAATAGATATGCCGTAGCATATAGTGTCATAATATACTATACCGAACTGAACATACCATCGGCACCATCACAACAAGTAACACAACATAACACAACCTAGCCTGACATACCAGACATATCATGCCATAGCGTGGGGCCACAGAGAAGGGCAGATCATAGCATAACACATCACGAGCCTGACAGAGGTGGAGTGAAGCTGACCACCTACCAGACCACCCCAACCCGCAGCGGCCACAGCCAGCCGTTCCCAAGGCTCCGGCAGGCGCGGAAGGCCGAGAAGGCCCCTGAAGACGAAGCCGGGGCAGGGCCAATATCGGACGGACCAGGACGGGTCGGGGACCTTTTTGGAGTCCCGAGACGGTGCGGTGACAGACCGTGCGGTGACCTCGAAATCCCCCAAGACCTCACCGCACGGTCCGTCACCGCACGGTCTTGGGACCCCGGAGGCCCCTGTCGCCCGAGACGTCCTCGGAGATGGCCTCGAGTCCCAAAACCGTGCGGTGACACCCCGAATCCCCACAGAGACTCACCGCACGGTGTGGTCGCCGCACCGTCTGGGGGCCCCCAAACCTCTGGGATCCGGCGTATGCACCGGGCGCCCCAGCAGGGCAACGGCGGAGGTGCCGCGGCCCCAGACCTCTGGCGTTTTTTTTTTGACGTGCGGACGCGAGCGCGCGCGCAGCCGCGGGCGCTCGACCCCGCCCAAAGGCTCAGTCAGGGACCTTTGGGAGCTGCGCAATGCGTTGCGCAGCCAAGCATGCAAACGCTTCCGCGCTGCCACCCGCGCAGGGCAACTCGCCAAGGAGCAGCGCCGGCTGGCACCGCGCCGGCAGAAGCTCCCGCCAGCCCGGGCACGCGCTCCCCAGCAGGCCTTCTGCCGACGCCGCACTGTCGCCACAGCGGAGGCAGAAGACGTGGCCGGGCCCGCGCGCGAGGGTGTGGGGCCACCAAGAGCGCCCGGCGAAGAACGCGGCCAGCATGTCCCCCCTGCTGACGGGCGCATCAGCGCCGCTCCGGCGCGGGCGGGTCGGCGCAGGCGTCGCCCGGTCAATGGCGGCGTCGGCCGCCGGGGCGGACGCCGCGCGGGCCCGGGCGCCGCGGCGGACCCCGCGCCAGTCGCGCCGGCGGCGGCGCGCGGCTGGCGGCGCCGCCGCGAGGGCGGCCTGCTGCGCGGCGGCCATGACGCGCTGCGCGGCCTCCAGCAGCACCAGCTCCCGGCGGCGGGCGCGCGCCACGTCTGGCGGCGGCGCCCTGCTGGCAGCTGCCGCGCGAGCATTGCCGTCGGCCGCCGCGTTGCCGAGGCGGTCCCGCTCGTTCAGCCCCAGGCGGCGCGCCTCCGCTGGCGTCGGGTGGGCTGGCACCCAGCGGGCCCGGAGCCGTCCGCTCCGCACGGCATCCACCAGCGAATGCCACAGGTCTGCGTGCTCCCAACCCCGCGGGTCGGCGCCAGCCTCGATCTTGGCGCGCCCCTGCATGCACCGCCTACTTGCAGTCCGAGGCGAGGTCGATCGGGCCGCCCACTACGCGAGCCGCCGCCACCGCAGCTGCCACCTCGGCCCTCTGCGCCGTCTGCAGCCCGTCGACCGGCCCGGCGAGGTTGGGGGCTGCCAGCCCCTCGACCCGGAGGCCCCAGGCCGCTCGCGCCAGCAGCGGGTCAACAGGGTGGAGGCATGCCCCGTCGCTCCATACCGTGCGGCGGGGCGCTCCTGGGAGAAGCGCCGCTTGGGCCGGTAGCTGCGGGTCGTCGCGCCCAGCGGCCTCCGCGAGGGCAGCCAGGAGCGGCGGCATCGCCGGAACCCCCGTCTGGGCGACTCCCGCTGGCAACGGCCCCCGCAAAGCCCAGGCGCCCCGGGGCGGCGCCTCCGACCGCGGCGAGGCCGCGAGCGCAGCGCGGCGCGGGCCCTCCCACGCCGGGCATAGCCAGAACCGGTGCTCGTGGTCCTCGGTGGCCAGCCCGCAGTGCGGGCACAAGCCCGCGTCGCCCCTCCACTTCGCCGCGATGGCCTGGGTCACGACGCTGCCGCACAAGACGCCGCGCAGCGCCCCGGCGGCCTCGGGCGTGAGCTCGTCGGCGGCGAGCAGGCGGCGGGTGGCCCACCTGTCTACCCCGCCGGCCAGGTGGGCGAAGCACGGCCGTCGCGAAGCGACCTTGCGACACTCGGCCCGGCTCCACGCTGCCATGAGCACGCGTTCAGTGGATCGCCTCGAATGCTCCGCTGGGCGCCAGCCGTGCGGCGCCGCTGGCACACCGACCCAGCGCTCCAGGTCACCGCCCAGCCCGAGCTCGCGCAAGCTGCGCATCGCGGCCGCCACAGGGCCAACGGCGCGAGCAGCTCCAGCGTTGACCGCGGCGGCCGTGTGGCGCCACGAGGCGAGGTCGAGCTGGCCTGCCCGGAGAGCCCGCGCAGCCTGCAGCACCTGCGCGACGCGCACCACCGCCTTCGGGTCCAGGCGCCACGAAGGGCTGACGACGCCGAACATGATCTCAGCCGCCGCTCGGGTCCCGTGGCCAGTGGCAGCCTTGGCGGCGCGGCGGAGCTGCTCGAGCTCGCCCACGGCGGGGCGACCGCAGGACGACCCGAAGGTACCCGCGGCAGCGCCAGCAGCCGCCCCCATCAGACACCGCCACCGGAAAGGCACAGGCAGGCGGCGGAGGCGGGCAAACCGGCCGCAAGCCAGCTTCACCCGCGCGGCGGACACCGGGTGCTTGCGCCGGCGGCCGGCGACCGCGATGACCCCGAGGTCGCGGATCTCTGCCCCAACGGCGATCGATGTCATCGCGTGCTGGAGCCACCGTCGCACCCAGGCCAGGTTAGCGAACTGCTTGCTTTTGACCTCGTGCGGCCGCCAGTCCATGTCCGCCTCGCACGCCCGGGTGATGCGCATGGCCTCGGCGACAGCCTCGGCAGTGGCATCTGGGTCCCCGCGCGCCCACAGCGTGAGGTCGTCGACGTGCGCGCGGCGCCTCAGACCGTCGTCCACTCGACCAGTGCGCTGGTGCCACGGCCGGGCCAGGACGCTCAACGCGAAGACTGCCAGAGCGCAGCCAGGGAGAATTCTGCTGGTTGGCTCCCACGGGCCACCGAGAGCGCCGTCGACTAGCAACCGGCGGGGGGCCGCGTAGGTGGCGAAGAGCGGGCCGCGTAACCACGCGGGCGCGCCAGCTCGCGTCAGCGCCCGCTCCAGGAGCTGAAGGCTGACGTGGTCGAACGCCTTCCGCCTATCCATGGCGCCGCCGCAGATCGCCTCCCCGGCAGCCTCCGCAGCCTCGAGCTCGAGGGCGAGGTTACACGCGAGCTCCTCGGAACCGATGCTGCCGTCAGCGTCGCCCCACGCCGCGCGCCATCGCGCGAACAGCTGCGCCCTGCCCGCGGCCCAGACGTGGTGCAACATGGGGAGCAGCCAGATCGGCCTGCGGTCCATTGGCCCGCCGTCACCGGGCTACGGCTTGGGAAGGGCCAGACCCTCGGGGCCGTGCAATTCCTCCGGCCAACGGCCCGTCTGCTCGACGAATTCGAAAAGCTCCGCGACCCATTCGAGCAGCTCGCGGGGCAGGAGGCGAAGCTCCGCGACTGCCCATCCGCCCAGGCCGGGCGCCTTGTTCTTCGCCATCGCCCGGATGATCGCCTGTCCACGGCGTCCTATCCGGGAGCGGGGGCAAGGAGTCCAGCTCGACGAGCCGCTCCTCGAGGCGGGGGGTCGCCGGAACAGGCCGCTGCCACAGTGCCCGCCAGTGATGCTCCATGTAGCGGAGCTGGGCAGCAGCGCCGCCTCGCAGGGGGCAGCGCCAGCGTCGGCCGCCAGGCGGCGAGGCCGATTCTCCTGCAGCGGCGCCAGCAGGAGGGTCTGGCACAAAGGGGGCCGCCAGGGCGCCATCCGAGCGGATCCATTTGCACAGCCGGCCTCCGCCGTTAGCCATCGCCTGGCGCGCCCACTCGTGCCAGGAGCCGCGGCGACGGTCGCGGGCTGCCCGCTGCGCCTCCTGACGCTCGAGCTCGGCCCGCAAGACGCAGCTCTCGAGCAGGCCCGGTGCCGCTGTGAGCCGCTGCAGGTCGGCCGTCCAGGCGCCCCCAAAAGGCTCGTCCCTGACCAGCGCTGCAGCGACGGCCCGCGCCCGGTGGCAGCCGAGGCCCCAGCGGCTCGCGATCTCGCGCATGGAGCGTAGCCGCCGTGCCCGGAGTAGCGCGGCGTCGGCAACTTTGTCGCTGGCCTCGCCGCCGGCGCCTGAAGCGCGCGGCCGACTCGCGTGCCACTTCGTGCCAGCGTACTGCCGCACGAGCGGCTCCAGGCATGGCAGCCTCCAGCGCGCCCCAGGCAGCGTCAAGGCGACCGTCGCGAAGGCCAGCACGAAACGGTGCCCCTTGCTCTTGCAACACTTCGTCGGTGACACTCTGCCGAGCCTCCGGCCATCCATCCGCAGCAGGCCCAGCGAGCGTCAGAGGTCGCTTCCGCATAGCTGCGTGCTCAGGCGCCTCGACGGCTAGCCCCACCTCGAGCGCCGCATGCGTCGCGAGGCCAAGATCCCAGCGCAGCCCTGCAGCCGCGACGTGTTCCATCGCCGGCGCATTGGCGAGGACATAATCAATTCTGGATGGGCTGCCTGAGCTCGGCAAGCAGGTGGGCCAATACGTCCTGCCAGCCGGCCATGGCCAAGAGGGGCTCCACGCTGGTCCCATGCAGCACGAGGTTGAAATCCCCCACCAGCAGCGCCTGCACGTCGCCCAGCGACCGCAGCCACGAAACCGCTGCCACGAGCAGCGCCTCGTTGTCCTCGGCGGCGGCCGGGCCGTCAGCATGGCTCTATAGACCTGCGCGATGTGCAGCGCTCGCCGGCCTCCGAGGTGGAGGACTGCGTACTGCAATCGGCACGCCTGCTCCGAGGTGAAGCCGATCATGTCCACCGCGCGGAGGCCGTGCAGGCCCTCCCGATGCGCGAAGGCCAGCAGGTGCGTGCCATCGCTGGAGGCCCCGAGCTGCAGGCGGAGGCCGCGGAGTCGGGCTCCGTCGACCACGGCGGCAACGCAACCCTCGTCAACAGGCACTCGGGCCTCCTGCACGCAGTACACGTCGGCGTCGGCCGCCAGGAGCCCGCGCCAGCTGCCCCGCCAGCTCGTGACATTAGCCACGACGGTGCGCGTACTCCTCGTCGCACCTCCTCGCCCAGGCCCTGGGTGGGACGCCTCGTCCACGCGGACGCCTCGGCACGGCCGCCCGCTCCACCGCGCAGCCGGCAGCCCGCGCGCAGCCCCGGCAGCACAGGGTCCCCCCCCCAGCGCGGGGCGCCACCTCCCCTTCCAAGGCGCACTTCCCCTTCCAAGGTGCCCCGCCGTCCGTCGAGGACGGGGGCGGGACTCCGAGATCCTCAGGGCAGGCCGAGATCCCGAAGGCAGGCGCCTCACGCAGGGCCGAGGGGGGGGCCGGGGCTCCACGTGCCCAGGAGTCGCCGCCGCCGATGGGCCAAGCGGCGCGGGCGCTGCCAGCCGCGCCCAGGGTGGGAAGACGGGCGGGGGGCCCATCTTCCCAGGCGCCGCCGCCGTCGGGAGGCCCGGCGGCGCGCGCGGCGGCAGCCGCGCCCCAGGTGGGAAGACGGCCCAGGGCTCCATCTTCCCAGCTGCCGCCGCCGTGGGGCACACCTCGCGCGAGGTTGCCGGGCGAGGCCTCCGGCAACCGCCCTCCTGGGGCCGCCGGGCAAGGCGCCGACGCTGGGTTACCGCGCCACTGCTCCGGCAACCGCTCCCCTGGGGCCGCTGGGCAGAGAGCCGGCGCTGGGTTGCCAAACCACGGCTCCAGCAACCGCTCTCCTGGTGCCGCCGGGCCGCGCGCCCGTGTGAGGTTGCCAAGGCACGGCTCTGGCAACCGCCTCCCTGGGGCCGCCGGGCAAGGCGCCGGCGCTGGGTTGGCCGCGCTCAGGCGCCGGTCGCACCCCGCTCGAGGCTCCGCGATCGCTCCCGCCTGCCCGGGCAGCGCGGCGGCGTGGAGGAGGCTCGCGGGCGGCCCAAGCACTGCCTGAGCGTGACCTGCCTCCGGGCCTCCGCCGCGTGGTGGGCGGCTGCCACCTCGCGCCACGAGCTGGGCGCGGCGCGGCCCTCCGCGGCGCCACCACCGCTGCCTCCTGGCGGCCTGCCGCCGGGAGCTGCGGCAGCCCCAGCCGCAGCGTCCAGGCTCCGAGGCGCGGCAGCATCGACGGCCCCTGCAGGCGGCGGGGCACCGGGGGCTGCAGGAGCCCCAGCGGGTGCGGCCCTGGCGACGGCGGGGGCAGCGGCGTGCACAGAGGCGGCGGGACCTGCCGCGGCCGCCGCCGCACCTGCGGCAGGGACCTCCGCAGCGGCCCCACGCACCGCAGCGGCGACCAGCGCGCGCAGCTGCTCGACGAGCGCCGCGGCCTCGCCGCCGCCGCCGCCTCCGGAGCCACCTCCGCGTTGCTGCAGCACCGACGTGGCCGCAGCGAGGGTGGCGAAGGCCGCGTCGACCCCCGCCTCGGTGAGCTGCGCCGGCGGCGGTGCTCGGGCAGGAGTAGCCTCCGCCTGCACCGCCAGCAGCGCCGCGTCGGCCAGGCGCAGCGCCTCCTGCGCTTTCGCCGCCTCGGCTTCGAAGTGCACGACAGCCCGGCGCGCCTCGGCCAGGTCGTCGGTGGTCGCCTGGAGCTTGGCCGCCGCCGCCTTCTGCAAGTCCGCGGCGGCCTGGACACGGACCGCCCAAGGCCGGGATGCTTGGGCAGCCAGCTCCAACGACGCGCGGATCTGCCGGTCGCACTCCGCCACGTCCGCCTCCGCCGCATAGCGCTGCGCAGCCGTGCGGCGCTCGCGCCAGTAGCGGAACTCCCGCTGCGCCTGGCTCAGCTCGGTGGCAGGGGCGTCCGGCGAGGCGCCAGCCGCCACAGGAGAGGGCATCGCCACATCGCCAGGCGGCGCCGCTGGCACCGAGGGCGAAGGCAGCAGGCGCTGCACCAAGGCCGCGTAGGAGACCGGGCCAGGCGCCTGCCCACCACCAGCGCTCCGCTGGCGGTGTTCCCCAGGCGTGTCCGGCGCGGGCACTGCCTCGCGCGGCGGGCGCTTCTTGGCTGCCGCCCGGGCGGCATCGGCGATCCGCTGTGGCGCTGGCTTGCCACAGCGCTGGCAGCGCACGCGGCAAGCCCACTTGCCCGCGTGCCCGCATGGGCAGCCCCAGCATGGCTCCCGAGGCCCTGGGAGCACTGCTGGATCCGCCCCACCCGCAGCCTGCGAGCGCCCGCCGCCACGATCGCCCGGCATCCGGCACCGGCCGCGCGCGCGGATTACCCTACGCGCGGGCCCGGGCGCCGGGCCGAAGGCTGCTCCTGCCCAGCTGGCTTGCCAAATGGTTTACTGGAGCCAAAATGGCTTGAGCCAAAATGGCTACGGACCAAACCTCTGGCGCACGGTGTTCTTCAGCCTGGGCGCCTGTCCTCACGTTCGGCCTCTGGGTGCCGTTCCTCCAGCCCGGGGGCCATCCTGCATGGATCCACCGGCGGCGATCGAGGGGGGGAAATGGGAAGAAGGCCTTCTCAGAAGGCCGCGGGACTCCTGAGAAGTCCTCGCGCCTTCTGAGAAGTGTTGTCTGTCTTCGGGGAAGGCCTAGAAAACATCTCAGAAGGCCAGGGAACTCCCGCCGCCTTCTGAGAAGGTCTTCTCCTTATCACTTCTCACTTCCCCCACTCCCATAGCCGCCAAATTTTTGAGCGTCCCACGGACCACCAGGGGTCTGAGGGCAGTCCACTGCGTGCCGTAGGGGTCGGTGGCGGATTCCTTGCACGATAGGAAGGGCAGCGACCATATCAAGCTGATCGGCTTCGGATTCCGCAAGATGTGGGACCCCAACGTCGAGATGCAGGCGAGCCGCGTCCTCCTCACTTTCCCCCCCCCGCTCGCCGCCGGACCCGGGAGGAAGGGTCGGGACCCTTCGTGGGGGCCGCGGACCGAGCAGCATCAGATCGGCGGATGCCAGGGGCTGGCTCCCGCGGCCGTGCAGTGCAGCAGCGCCCGCGCCACGTCCGCGATTTGTTCATTTATATGTACATGTACACATCAACATTTACATACATACATACATACCTACCTACCTACCTACCTACCTACCTAACTACCTACCTACCTACATACATACATACATACAAACAAACATACATACATACATACACACCTACCTACCTACCTACCTACCTACCTACCTACCTACCTACCTACCTACCTACCTACCTACCTACCTACCTACCTACATACATACATACATATATACATACATACATACATACATACATACATACATGCACACATACATACATACATGCATGCATGCATACATACATCCATATATATATATATATATATGTATGTATGTATATATATATGTATGTATACAAGACTGCAGTGGCGTTTTGCGCCATGCACCTTGGTCCTAGAATATTGGTATGCAGGCGGAAATGGCAGGAAGGTCAAGCGGACAATTTAGCGATAACTCCTTGCTGCATTTTCTGGCATCGCCATTCTGATTATGTTGCTCGTTATCCTTCCTCCATGCTTGCTGTTCCTCATTCTCGCCATACCCTGGGCATTCTCCTCATCCTCCTCAGCTCTTTTTGCGGAGGCTCCTCCTTGGAGAGCCTCTGGGGGCCTCACCAAAGTTCTCAGGCTTTCTTAAAGCCTTCTGGAGGCCTCATGGGCGTGTTCTGGGGGCCTCTGGGGCTTCCTAAGGCCAACCTGCCTCTAACCGTGGTCTCCCTGAACGCCCCAGTCACGATTTGGAATGCTTCGGAGGGTGTCTTGGGGCCATCTTGGGCCACCATGGAGCTCTCTTAGGGCCATTTTGGACCCCTGTTGAGCCGTTTTAGGGTTCTCTTGGACTGCCTGGAAACCCTTTCGGATGGTTGTGGGGCGATTTTGGAGCCTCCCAGGCGACTTCGGACGCCCAGAAGACCGCTGTCTTGGAGCGTCGGGAAGCCGAAAAGAGGAGAACCCCAAATTCACCAAAAACCTGCATTAAATCAATGATTTGTCCCTCTTGGGGCCTATTTGGGGGTGCGCTTGGAGGCCTCTTGGTACGTTTTGAAGGATCTTTCGGGGTATGACGGCTTCTTGGAGCGCTCTTGTGCTGTCTTGGGGTTCTCTGGGACGTCTCCGATGACCCCCCTGATCGTCCTAGGTGTGCTGCGAAAGCTTGGCAAAACGCCCTGCGAGGCCCGGGGGGCCGCTTCGAGGCCCGTCCGAAGGGTCCCAAAGCCCCAGATCCCAGGAATCCGGTTTTGGGGAGGGGGGTGAGGGGTTTTCCCCCCGCCCGGGCTTGTAAACGTAAAGGAAGAGGAATCTATGTATGTATGTATATCTATTTTTATATATATATATATATGTATATATATGTGTATATATATATATATATATAAATAGCAGGGCTGGACATAAACGTTGTTTTTCGTATTGTGTTCGTTTTGCTCTTCTTGTTTTCCTGTGCCTCCCTGCCAAAACGAAAAACCAAACGCAGCCGAAGCCCAGCATAAATCCCAGACGGCGTGCGCGGTCGCGGACGCGCCCTCGCTCTCTGGCGGGGCCTGCGCCGCAGCGTCGGCAGCTGCGCGTGGGGCTGCTGGCGCCGCACGCTGGCGAGGAGGGGGATCTGGAGCCGCGTGGTGGTGCAGCGAGTGAGGACGAGGGGTGCGACCCCAGCGGTCGGACGTGCGCCCGAGTGACCTCTGGCTGCCGACCTCGGACCAATATGGCAACGGAAAGATGTAGCTAGGGAGATCTTGGATGTAAGTGCAGGGACGGACAAATGCAAACCGAAAAAGCAATACCGTCCACTACGCTGGGATAGTAAACATACACTGCGTAAGAGGGTTGGGGTGGGTGGGTGGGGGAACGAACCAGAAAACGATAGCCATTACACCATGGTCACCATATTGAACCAACGAGCAATTTGTAAGTTTCCCGCCCAATGCCTTTCTTATTCTCGTCCATCGCAATAAACGCCTGGCGAACCTCCGCGCGCTCCTCGTTCGACAGGGACCATGCCATCATCGACATACAGCAGCGGCGGAACTTGGTGGTCTTCCCGAAGGCGCGCAGGGAGTCTGCGACACCGTGATCGATCTCGTACTTTGTGTGATCCCTATTCTTGACCCATCTGTGTGCTAAGGCACCCTCGGCGGATATCGAAGAACACAAAACGGCAAAACATAAGCATTCGGAGAACCGCGCGAATTTCTTGCGTCGGCACTGGACCCCCCTGGCGGCGCCTCCGGCGCCGCCCCTGGCGCGCTCCGCGCGCCAGGGAGGGGGACCCAGAGCCGATCGCAGAAATCCGCGCGGAGCTCCGACAATCTATGTTTATGAGTTTTTTACTGTTCCTCGAGGATAGTCGCTTCGCCGGATCTTTCTGCATGAGGCCCAGGGTGAACTCCCTGCCCTCGGCGGAGACCTTGTCCCACCGCTCGGGCTTCATGGTGAATTTGCCGGCGGTGATATTCCGAGTCTGCTGCGCATCCGAGCCCGAGAAGGGCATGTATCCAGCTAGCAGTATAAAAGTGATTACTCCAAGGCTCCAGAGATCGCACCTCGGAGTCATCTCCCAATCCAGGCTGGTAAATGGCCTGACCTTGATCCCGATCCGGCTGGCCCCAGCCAACCTCGAGTGCAGCGCACCCAATCGTTTGAAAAACCGATCAATCGCCCCGATCCATGCATCAACGATCCATCGATCGGGCCCCGAACGCCGGACCGACCCCCTCTACGGATCGGGCTTGCTCGTGTAGCTCTTCTCCAGTACCTCAGGGGCCACGTATGCCAGGGTCCCGCAGCTCGCCTGCATCTTGACGTTGGGATCCCACATCTTGCTGAATCCGAAATCGATCAGCTTGATATGGTCGCTGCCCTTCCTATCGTATAAGAAATCCGCCACCGACCC